GCTGTACGTTACTGAAAAGTTTTAACAGCAGAAATTTTTTTATCGTAGAAATTATCTACCCTCAGTGTCTTTCACAGATACATGTTCGGAAATGTATGTCGGAGCGAGTTTATGAATGGCCTTGAAAGTTAACAATAACATTTTAAAAACTAGACGATATGCCACGGGTAACCAGTGTAGGGCTCTTAGCAATGGTGTAATATGACAAATTTACTTTCTTCGAATACAAGGCATGCAGCAGAGTTCTGGACTCTTTGCAGTTTCTGAATCTGATACGCAGGTAAGCCATATAACAGACTATTGCAATAGTCAATGTGGCTAGAAATAAAGGCATGTATCAGCGTTTCAGTACATTCTTTGCTAAGATATTTCCTTATCCTCCTGATACTGTACAAATTAAATAACAGAATGCTGCAGAGCTTGTTTTCGTTATGTGATCACCCATTGATAGGTTAGAATCGAACCACATACCCAGATTACTCCTAACGGACTTTTCGATGACATCAAACAGTGCGATTGACCGTAAAGAGAAGTGGGCCAAGACACGAGCCTTAAGGAGTAACACACCGCAAGTCAAACTTAAGGACAGTGCCATTCAAACCGGGATTTATGAAAGCTGGGTTAGCAGATATTTTGTAATTTCTCTCAACTTCACCCCCTCTCTTAAGCTTTTTACTGTGTTGTTTGCTTATGTGGCATTTTTTTGGGGGTCCTCCCTCCCAACGTGCAGGGTGTTTTTTTCCGTCCCTACCCAGAATTCTCTGTCTAACAAGTAATAGTTACTTGAAATCAGGGCGCGCGTAAAGCTGGTTTTGGTACCGTTTAGCAGTTTATATTTCGTTATCGGTCACCTCGAGAAAAGTTTCCCCGAGAGCATCATGGAGAAAGCTCTGAGATGGGACAAAGTTAAAGGAACAGTATCCCGTTACTGCGCATGCACCAAACTTTGATTTTTGGACAGGATGTCGCGAAATCAAAAGATGCGAGGAGAGTAAAAGAATCTTGAAAAATCCGTTTGCATCGCGCTTGGCCGGGTTTGATAGATAGATAGATAGATAGATAGATAGATAGATAGATAGATAGATAGATAGATAGATAGATAGATAGATAGATAGATAGTTTATTTGTAAAAAGCTTGCAGCTACTAAGCTGAATTGTGTATTTACAATGTAATATATAATATTAATATAACATAACAGAATCTTACAATAGTGAGTATAATAAAATGATAATGATAAAGTGCTAAATAAATATTAACATCCTATAAATATAAAAAAGCTTAAAACTGTTAAAATATATACAACGTCATCGATCTCATTTACAAAACTCACCGAGCGCTAAAATTCGTTATCAGCACATGGTCTTACTCAAAAACTATTTTTGAAACGCTCGGTCTTCCATTTGGAAATGGCAAAACGCCTTTTGCACCGAAGATTATAACACGACGGCTCTGACGATTGAAGCATGTTATGTAAGCGACGGGCTGGGTCATTAGCAATCGAGAGGAAGGTCTTTTTACATAAGCTAGCGATGTAGCCATTGATAGACATAGTATTTGAAAGCTCTAAGGCCTTTCTATAGGCCAGTCCCAGGCAAATGATTGAAAGTGCCCGTTTCTCTACATTCTCTAGATCTTTCTTTAAATACATGGCAGGGCGTAGAAAAACGCAGGCGATGCGTAGGTCATGACTGACCTTATACAAAATGTATAAAAAAGAATTAATTCATGCCTTGCGACATTGGCGGATGAGCGCCGACTCATTTCGTTTCAATATTCAGGAAAGCTCTCGATCTCTTTACGCTTTCATTGCCTTTCGCCCGACATGTTTTGCACGGCGTTTAGTCGTGCAAAACCTCCACGAAAGATCCACACAGCGCGCGAGGTAACTTTATCCCGATTGTAAAAACAACTCGAGACGAATTACCTATGGAATAGGGTGTGTATGGGGGCTGCCGGCTCTGTCCCCTTTATCCTCTCTTGGTACAAATAATTCGTTAACAAATCTATAATAATTGTTGCGCTTAGTAATAAGCCATTAAGATGGCAGACGCGATTTGAGCGAATACAATGCGACGTCATTGTTTATATGCATATTCATTACAATTACCTATTATTGATAGTATGCAAATTTTACCATACATCGCGCCGCAGTATAAAAAAAAACTTGAGCGGACTTGTCAAAGTATTCATCTATAGGGTATATATCTATAGTATATATGCAACGAAACGCGGCAGCCAGCCATTAGAAAACTGCAGGAAAATAAAAATTGAAATGGTAAAACTGCTTACTACGCTGTACGTTACTGAAAAGTTTTAACAGCAGAAATTTTTTTATCGTAGAAATTATCTACCCTCAGTGTCTTTCACAGATACATGTTCGGAAATGTATGTCGGAGCGAGTTTATGAATGGCCTTGAAAGTTAACAATAACATTTTAAAAACTAGACGATATGCCACGGGTAACCAGTGTAGGGCTCTTAGCAATGGTGTAATATGACAAATTTACTTTCTTCGAATACAAGGCATGCAGCAGAGTTCTGGACTCTTTGCAGTTTCTGAATCTGATACGCAGGTAAGCCATATAACAGACTATTGCAATAGTCAATGTGGCTAGAAATAAAGGCATGTATCAGCGTTTCAGTACATTCTTTGCTAAGATATTTCCTTATCCTCCTGATACTGTACAAATTAAATAACAGAATGCTGCAGAGCTTGTTTTCGTTATGTGATCACCCATTGATAGGTTAGAATCGAACCACATACCCAGATTACTCCTAACGGACTTTTCGATGACATCAAACAGTGCGATTGACCGTAAAGAGAAGTGGGCCAAGACACGAGCCTTAAGGAGTAACACACCGCAAGTCAAACTTAAGGACAGTGCCATTCAAACCGGGATTTATGAAAGCTGGGTTAGCAGATATTTTGTAATTTCTCTCAACTTCACCCCCTCTCTTAAGCTTTTTACTGTGTTGTTTGCTTATGTGGCATTTTTTTGGGGGTCCTCCCTCCCAACGTGCAGGGTGTTTTTTTCCGTCCCTACCCAGAATTCTCTGTCTAACAAGTAATAGTTACTTGAAATCAGGGCGCGCGTAAAGCTGGTTTTGGTACCGTTTAGCAGTTTATATTTCGTTATCGGTCACCTCGAGAAAAGTTTCCCCGAGAGCATCATGGAGAAAGCTCTGAGATGGGACAAAGTTAAAGGAACAGTATCCCGTTACTGCGCATGCACCAAACTTTGATTTTTGGACAGGATGTCGCGAAATCAAAAGATGCGAGGAGAGTAAAAGAATCTTGAAAAATCCGTTTGCATCGCGCTTGGCCGGGTTCAATAGGACACTAAAACTTCTCGGGATTATAGATCAGTGATATATTGTTCCTGTTAAGTTTCGATTTGGGCAAAATCTGGATCTTTTGGCGTTACTTTTATTGCCGTTGGCCGGAGGACCAAAAGACTGGAAGCACTTTGATGCCGATTGAAGGCTTATTTCTTCTACTAGCTTCCATACAAGCTCAGATAATTGTGAAAGGAATACGCAGAAATGAAACAGCAACAATAAAGACTGTAAGAAAGAAACCGTTGAGACATTGATGTGACTGAGGAGATCTTGTGGAGGGGAGCTTCGTGAAGCAGAATGTTTTACAACGACGCGTTAGTAAACTTTAAAATGAATCTCCCTACTGCCGACAAAATCAAACAAACAGGCGCTACATGTTTTGAAAAACTAGTGACATGAAATTATAACCTTTGTTATGATTCATAGCGTTGAGATTGCATTTTTATTTATGTCTTTCAAACGTTTGAGGCTAGAACGCGAGCAAATCAGGCAGATATTACTGGACTTGGAGCGACTGACCTCTGACACGAGTTTCACATTAGAAAATATGTTTTTAAAGCGAGCGGAACGAGATTTTCGGGTCGCGAGGCGGCCCAGCTAGCGAACCGCGAACCGCGAGCCAAATTTTTATATAAGACGAAAGACTTCTTCGAAAGTCTAAAATATTACTTGAGAATATAAACAACAAATCTCTGTCGGCGGTGCGGTCCGGAAGGAAATCTTGTCGAGTCAATTTGACAGTTCTATTGTCTTTTGAAGAAAAAACAGATGACGCTCGCGCATGCGCATAATCGGGACACTGTCCCTTAGATACGATTCGCAAAGTCTGCGTCGTCCAATATCGTACTTTAGTATATACACACTCAGTGATCTTGGTGATTTAAGCAATCTGATTGGTTCGCTATCTCGGACTATTCAACAATATTCACCTCCCTGCGATAATGTGGATGGGTAATGTGTGAGCTCGGTTTTTTCCCATTTTCTTAGAGAAAGATCTTTTAAATAGTCGACAAAATCCTAGGGTTGACTTTTTTTCTGGCAAGAAAAGACTTCGAAGGATTGAAAACGGCGTTTTTCCATTTAGTGTTGTTGAGTTTTGTGGTCTATGGATTGTTTACAACTCCCGTTTATTCGCCTAGAAGAGGCCGTTAGGTGAACTCAGCGTTTCCTAACATGGAAAATCTGGCCCAAAAACGAAGTTTATTTATGACAAACAAATTTGAAAGCAAATGTTTGCAGAAATTCTACATTTCAAGTAAACAGGAGAGAAAGACTGCTATATGAAGACGACGTCTTACCTCAAGGAACCGAATCACCATTTTTGTCAGCACTTCATGCCAAGAACGACACAACAAACCTTTTCGGCTATAAACTTGGCGAGTCAACAGAAAACAACAAAGCTCTTCTTTTCTTCTCAGGTAAGGAAACAATTCAAACTTTTAGCGGTCCCATTTAAGTCCGCATTACGCTGTTGTTTGCGAAGTGATAAGCTTGTGATTGCCATGTTTGAAAATTCTACAAAGATCTGCACTGGCTAGTACCCCTCCCTCTTTCTTAATGTATTGAAAGGAATATTTTCATGTCTGATCAAGAACTAGAATATTCCTTAAAAATTTCTAGAAACAATGTTTTTTTTGTTGTGATTCTCACCTAGGTTCAAGATGTTGTCACACTGGGCATTTTCACGTAACAAGGAGGGCCGACCATGTCCACTGTACACTGTAGGATGCACAAAGGTTCACTCTTTAGCAGAGGCAGATCATGGAGAACATGTTAAATTGCTGCTAGCCGCTCGTCTTTCAGGAACATACGCTGTAATTAATTTTTTTTTTCTTTAGTTAAATGTGAAGTTTAATACTAATTCTTTAACCATGTTTTTTCTTCTAGAATATACTTACAAATCTCGAGATTTGTTTTTGTTGTCATGTTTTTTTTATGTTAAAAAATTGCCATACTATAGCTATTTCTTATTTTTAGATGTTGTATAATCTTTGGGTGTGTGCAATGTAGATTGTTATATTTAACATATTTATTTTCATTATATTATTGTTAAGAAAGGAGTTGGAGTTTCCATTAACTCAGATTTTTTAGTAATCTAGTCATTCATCTATTTCATTCTTTAAAGTTTATTTTCCTTTTTTTCTAATGCATGTTGTGCACCTTTTTTTATCTTTTTAGGCTTCTGATGCAGGCTTAGATGGTATTTCCTTTGATGGGTCATGGAAAATAGAAGGCGATGTGGTATCGCCCATCTGTAGCCCATTGTTTGAAGGTCATGCTGCTGTGATCAGAATGGAAATTTTAAAAGAGAGCGGTATTTCCGTCAAGTTTCAGGTGGAGTCAAAGTTGCAGCTGCCCAGTTTTGCCATTGATTTAAGGTGGGCCAGTAGCCTTGAAATCTTATCGCTTTCTTTAAGAAGTGTTTACATAGAGATTTTTGCTTATATTAATAGCCTCAAAGTTTGGATTTAGGACTGTAGTTCTTTCTTGCTTTGTTTTTAGTATTTGTTTTTTATTCCAATAATAGTATATTTCTTGTCATTTTCCAACAACAAGTGCTGTTTCCGTTCTGGGACTGAGAAAGTAAAGTTTGAAACTCCTACACGTCTAATGTGCCAAGACACAACTGATTGAGTCGAGCGCTCTACGAAATACGTTCAACTCAAATAACGAATTTGCATTGCTCCTGTTCTGCAGTTGAGCGCTTTGAAGAATGAATATCCAAGTGAAGGACTTCGAGTATTCTACAAAAAACATCCCGCTGGCATCCAGAAATGCGTACCTTCAGGTACTAATCGCGAAAACAGAATCCTTATTCAACGTATGCGCTGGAAAGCTTTCTTTTTTCTGAACAAGAACTGCAACGACACATCCAAAGAATCTTACGGATTTAAATCGAAACGGTCACCACCTCATGTAGCGGAACTGAATGAGTTTGAGGACTGTATGCTTGAAATGATACAGCGAGTTGAATTCAAGACCAATACTTACTCTAATGACCTTTAGAAAAAGCTCAATAAAGACGTAAAAGAAATACAGGAAGAACACAACATTTTTGTGAAAGCAGACAAAACGACAAACTATTACAAGACTGCACCCGAAGACTACATGAGACTTGTAAACAAAAACGTTACGAAGACCTACAAGAAGACAAACCCGAACGTGCCGGACATTATAACTCTAGAGGACAAGAAGATAGCAGAAAAAATCGAACTAGCGGACCGAATTGAAGTCTCAGCATCAAGGGACTCCTTCAATACACTGAAAGACCACAAACCAGATTTCATTAACAACCCGACCTGCGGACTCATTAATCCAAGCAAATCTGAAATTGGTGTCATTATCAAAAACATCCTCGACCGCATAAACAAAGAACTCATCCAAGCAACCAAGGTGAACCTGTGGAAAAGCACTAACAACACCATGGAATGGTTCAAGGCAATCCCAGAAAAGGAAAAACACGCATTTATCACCTTTGACGTATGCGACTTCTATCCATCCATATCTGAAGACCTGCTCCTGAATGCATTAGATTATTCTTCCAAATTCACCACTATCACTCCACAAGACCGCCACATCATCATCCACGCAAAAAAATCACTCCTTTACCATCAAAACTCTCCCTGGACCAAGAAGAACACAAACGACATGTTTGATCTTACAATGGGGTCATACGACGGAGCAGAAACGTGCGAATTGATAGGAATTTACATGCTCTCATTGATCGCATCCAAATTCAAAGATGAAGTTGGACTGTACCGCGACGACGGTCTTGCGGTTTACAAAGCCACTCCGAAAGAAATTGAAAAAACCAAGAAAGAAGTCTGCAATGTATTTAAATCAAAGGGCCTAAAGATTACAATCGATGCCAACAAAAAAATCGTTCACTTTCTTGATGCAACCTTCGACCTTACAGACGGAAGTTACAAGCCATACATGAAACCCAACAACAAACTCTCGTACGTCCACCAACAGAGCAACCACCCCCCGGCATTACTAAAAAACATACCACTCAACATCAACAAAAGGCTAACGAACATCTCATCCAGCAAAGAAGTTTTTCACGAATCAATTGCTCCCTACCAGCAAGCACTTAAAGAAAGTGGATATAATCACAAACTAACATACAACCCTGACCCCACTCCGAGAACCAAAAGAAAGAGAAAAAGGGACATTACATGGTACAATCCTCCTTTCGATTCGAATGTTAAAACCAACTTTGGTAGAAAGTTCCTCCGCATCGTCGATAAATGCTTCCAGAAAAAACATCCACTCTACAAGATTTTCAACAGACA